AATAAAAACTGTAAATAGCGAAAATGATTTGCAAGATCAAGGCTCTCGGGCATAAGACTTGACTTAACACTCGAGAGTACAAAATGTATGCTCGAAACACCAAATCAAATCAAGTATTTTGATTGATTAAACTCTAAGTCTGTTGTTTCGTCAATTATCTTGAAACTTAAACAGACAGAGAGAAACAGCAAAAATAAGCAAGATAAAATCTAAAGATGAAATTTTCACGGATCCTTTATTGGAATTACTGTTCTTCACTTGGCAGCTGCTACTCGGAATTTATAAAACGTCACTAGTGTCTGAGCAGAAAGTTGATGAACCAGGGTTATGTCAAAGAACGTCTCGTCCTTTTTCTTAAAAAGTTCATCGGAAGATACCAAGAACTTGTTGATACATATATTCCGTATCAACTTCACAAATAATACTTGAAGGTCTTGAATTATAGATTCTAGGTACTGACGTTGTTTATCATCTTAATTGCGTGTTATAGTGTTCTTTTATTTGTCTTTGTAAATTATAAACCTTTTCTGTTTAGTCAATTTTTGGTAATATCTTTTTGGGGTGGCCCGGTACTTATACATCCCGCCATTGTGTTATTGTGCTATGGTCATTTTTTGTATTCCTGTCTTTGATTTTTGCTAATTTGCTTTGTCTATATGCCATTTTGGTTTTTTTATGACATATTCGGGTTTTTTTTATAGTGATTAAGATTATAACACAATGTTGAATGCTGTACCCCTATTTTCGACATTTTTACCTGTTATTTCTGTTTGTTTTGTTCACACATTGTTGTCAATATAATGGAATTTTATGCGACTGTGATACAAGTGAGAGGTTTATCTAGCTATAAAACCAGGTTTAATCCACCATTTTCTACATAAGGAAATGCCTGTACCAAGTCAGTATTATGACAGTTGTTTTCCATTCGTTTGATGTGTTTGATCTTTCGATCTTGCCATTTGATAAGGGACTTTCCGTTTTGAATTTTCCTTGGAGTTCGGTATTTTTGTTATTTAACTTTTTTCTTACATTATCGACTATACTTTTTTTGTTCGCTTATGATCTTTTAAAAAGCTATATTGTATACTTATGGTCCGTATTTTCGGTAGACGTCTAGAATGCTTCCATCGAGACAGTGACCTTTTCCTGTATTCATATAAGATCGACATAAATCAGAAGCTTTATAGAAAGAATTTCCCGTTTCTCTTATAAGATGTTTATCTCGATGATTTGTTCCAAGCTTTTTTGGTGTCTAAGTGGAATGCGCTCAAAAAAACTTGAAACAATGATACAACAGATCCAATTAACACTGATTCACATCTTGACTGACATCTAAAAATTGACAATAAGGATATATACGGTTGAGGTATATGACCTAAAATGATAGTCAATATGAAAATAAGGAGATGTGGTATGATCGCCAATGTAACAACTATCCACCTAAATTCAAATTAAGTGGATGTAAGCAATTATACACTTAGGCAACCGTACGGCCTTCAACAATGAGAAAAAACCATACAGTATAGTCGGCTATAAGAGGCCCCGACATGAAAAATATGAAACAATTCAATAGAGAAAACTAACGGCCTAATTTATAACAAAACAATTTACGAAAAACAAATATGACAGACATCAAGCAACGACACCCACTGACTGATCGACTACATGCTCCTGACTTGGCACATGCACATATAGAATGTGGCGGGGTTAAACTTGTTTGCTGGCGCCAAATCTTCCCCCTAACGGGCGTAACAGTGCAACATAAGAACAAGCTATCAAATTTGAAATCCATATATAAGGTTAACTTTGTATAAAAGCAGCATACGCTTTCGAGTCGGTGTTTGACCATAAAAAATCTACTCACAAGCAGCATATCTGTCCTTGATATACCTTAAGGTATGGAGTCTTAACCAGAAAAAAATTTTGCCTCACTAGAAATAATCGTCAAGCTACGCCACTGTAATGGAAGTGTATTATATATAGCCCCTTCTGCAGCTCGGTAAATGTGACGAATCTTTTCAACTGTGCCACTCGGCGTAGACATAGCCATGGTCATCGTCATTATACATCATATACGCTTCGTGCTGTCAACTTAAAAGACCTTTTACCTTTTATATAAAAGCTGGTTGGAATATTTCCAAATTCTCACGAATTTATATTCATTTACACTTTCAAAACTTAATTCTTATTTGTACGAGTTATGTGTTGGAACCCTGTCACAAGTCTCCATTCTAATCAACACGGACTTGCAGCTATCATCTTGGATATTGCCAATCACAAACTTTTCAGACCAGTTGGAAGTAGAAAATATGAAACGGAGAAACTTTCCTTTCTAAAACTTCCTATTGATACCAAAGGTCGTGCTGCCATAAACTTTTGCAATATCCTTCATCATTTATATAAATCAATGAAATGAAAAATACCTCCCTATTTCAAAGATCGGTCTCTACCAATCATCTCTTATACCTATACCACACCTATTGCGAACAAAATTTTCAACTACAAACACGAGTTGCAAAATCTCTATATCCGTGTTTCCCATTCATATATTATTCCATTGGTCATGTTATAACGACGACCCTAACATTGTCAATAACGCTTTTCTACGAAATGTGTTAGCCAAAGGGCCGCTATTCCGTGAGTTGAAATCCATAAATTGAAAACACAACTTTAAATTAATTATAGATTCAGTTGAGAATTATATTAGACAACAGACAAAACGTGAAAAAGAAGACGTGCAAAATCTTTTCGATTGCATGGGTTAAGGCTGTGATATCGTTGATACAAATCAGGACAAAAACGTAAAGGGTGAATATGAACACTTTTGATACATCTATCTTCAAAGATACAAACGTTGATAAGCACTTATCCTATACTTCCAGGACAAATATGTTGTTGTTTGAACACTTTTGATACATCTATCTTCAAAGATACAAATGTTGCTAAGCACTTATCCTAATTCCAGGACAAATATGTTGTTGTTCCTGCAGACAAAACCCCAAAACAATATCGCTTTTATTTGTACAATAGACAAAATTCTGAACAATCATAGTTCGGTTTTATGTTTATGTTGGAACTCAACCAAAGATGAAGTACTTGGTCTTCCTTCCCCCTACATCATCGGATACATAATTTACATAAGTGTCCTTAAAAAAACATCATAATGCTGGGTCTGTCGAATGCTCCAAAATACCTCTTTCCAAACTTTTAACCATGATATATTTTATCAGCAATCAAAACCGGGCTTCAGAGTTACGGTGAAACTACATACTTTAGGGATGGCGTGAATCAGACATGGATACCAAAACTTCAAAAGAACTGTTAGAGTACTAACAATTGAAGCCCCCACCATCTGGCCTCATGCAGCAGTATACATACATCAAGACTTATATACACTTTATTTGTGTGCAATTTGTTTTAAGAAGGGATACACCATACTTTGTAAAAAAACCCTCTTATTTGAACAAAAAGTTCACTGAAAATTACATCATCAAGATCCAGGATCGTTTTTTTGGCAATATATTAATGATTTTTGGACAAGTCTTTATCAACAGACCATTGAGCTTCCTATGGGAACCAACAGTGCCTCTGTGCTTGCCAATTTGTACCTTTATTCTTATAGGAGGGAAACTTCGAACAGAAGCTTCGTTAGAAAATTGAAAAAGCTGGACAATGATGAAAGTTTCTATAACACAAAAGTGGAAAATGTTAGTGAAATTGAGGATACATTGCTGAGGGCTTTGATTAATGAGAAAAGCATTTTCTTATTTTTTTTTATATACAATCTGCTTTTGCAAATAGAATATTTTCATTTGGATCTCGGAATGTCTTGTAGTTTAGTCTGAGTTGGATACTAAAATCTAGGACATAATGTTATATTAGTTACCCTCTTCGACTGATCATATCTTAGATATACTTGAACTTCATGAGTGATCAGTGAGTTCAAGTGGGAAAATGGTTCAAACGAAACACACAAATATTCACATTAAAGAAAAAATATCTGCTATTTGTCTGTCCCCGCCTACAGTGAGACATCATGGCTGCTGTCGAGACCACAGACTATTGATGCATATTGACCCCGGTCCCTTTTTCGGCGTTTTAAGATTTTTCTTTATTATTTCAACAAACTACAGTTATGTATAAGATTGGTATATCAGAGAAAGATCACAAAAAATAAGGGAAAACTATTTTAAATATGAAAGAAAATGGAATAAAAACATATTCAGTCAATTGCTGGCATTCAGTTTTAAAAGTTGACTTTTTGTGGACGTCGCAAGGCGACGTTTCCATAGATTTTACATTTTGGAGTGAATACTTCATCTGTTGATATATATTGTGAACGCTTTGTGTATATTTAAATAATATTTACCTATGTTGAAAGACTTGCATATAATTTCAAATCATAAAAATACAAATTGTTTAGTCTCTACGAAAACTAGTAATTGTTCTGTTGCTATTTTTGCTAAATTGGTGCCATTTGGGTACTCGGAGCAATTTAGGCACTGTGACGTTATATATGTTAAACGTGACAAGACATAAAACACATAAAACAGAAAGTACATCATGCAAAGCATATCATGAGTAAATACTGGTATCAAGCACAGCAAATTATAGCGATTAATAAGCAAATCAAAGCATGTAAAAGCAAACATAAAATGCAGACAAACTGACATTCATGCAGCAGCTATTAAGCACTAAAAGAATTTCAAGCATTTAGAACAAAACTAAAAAAGTATGCAACAAAAATATAAAAGCCAGAGTCACATGATAAAATCGATATATATATATTAATCATATTGTGTGCACAGTTGGTAACAATCTAAGGATAGTTCTTCCTGAACATGCATGAAATATTTGCCACCGGATTGGACGTTAAGCAGCCAACAATCAATCTATTAATCAATCAATCAATCCAAGAATCCAAGGAAAGTAGCATCAAGTGTCCGGAAATTTCAATCAAAACCGTTGTTTACTCTTTTATTCTGGTTTCCTCTCCCCGGTCCGTCAGCTCTCTCTTGTCCACTATGGAATAGTTACCAGTCCATATGAATCAACGCCATGGCAGCTCGCTCAGCTCAGTTTATGAATAGAATGGGTCAATTTCCTGGTCCAAAAAAATTCAAACAGTATATTATTTGCCATATTATTCTAGGCGTAGTACTCTTTCTGGTATACTATAGAGTAAATGGCGGTAAGTCGGTTTATCTCGCTATGCTCGACCCAACAAGTGGACATGCTGATTTTTGGCTTTCTATTATTTAGTCCAGATAATTATGACGTCTTGAAAGTCTATTATATTTTTTTCGTTGACGCCTTACATCGACGTCGCAGGAAGGCGTCAAAGCAAAAATTTAAAATAGCCTTCCAAGACGTCATAATTATTTGGACTATCTATTACTTAGGGATCCCAACCCTTAATATAAAGCTATCTTAAACTTGCCTTATAAGCTTACCCTAACACTAGCCCTAACCTAGACCATCCCCAAACCTAGTCTATACTACATTGTAACCATATCCGTATCTACAAATCCCTTGGAGTATGCATGCACAGTATGGCCTATGGGACCCTTTCCAGCAGAACAACAAACACCGACTGGAAATAGTACAAAGAAGAGCAGCAAGATACGTCACTAACAGATATCACAACACCTCATCTGTTAGTGACATGCTTACCTCACTCAAATGGAAAACCCGTGAAGATCGGAGAAAAGCCGCAAGACTTGCAATGATGACATACAAACTTGCCAACAAGATGGTAATGTTAATACAGAAGACACTCTCATTCCACCAGACAGAATATCCCGCAATTTAAACAGCAACGGTTTCCAATTTCCAATATGTAGAACAGAAGTGAGGAAAAATCATTCCTTCCAAGAACAATAAGGGACTGGAACGCACTACCACTCACCACCACCAGTGCAGGTAGTCTTGAATGAGACGATTTAGACCGCCGTCCAGGATGTTTTTAACCTCACTGTCACTGTAAATAAAATGTATAGCACAAATCTTCACATTATTTTTTTATAAAACATTTACATGCGCATCCAAAAGTGGCAAAATAATCAGTATATAATATTGATGGTGGCAGCAAAATGGTAGAATTAGAAGTACATTGTAGGCCTTCTTTTACGTAGCAGTTTAGGGGTATCTATACTTAGAGTTTATTTATGGTTAAGGTTAGTAAGAGAATGGTCTAAATTAGGGTTAGGAATGGGTTAGGATTTTTGGATTCTGTGTCTGGGGCAATTTTCTTATTTGGCTGCCCTTACATTTTAGGATTCTGTGTCCAGAGCAATTTCCTGATTTTGTTATCTTCAGTCCGCAACCAAATCAGAAAATCGCTCCGAACACAGAATCCCAAAAGGATCTGTTATCTGTAGGTGTAGCTCTTGACACTAGAAGTTCCCACATTTACTTTAAATCGTCATTTCATGATTCAGCCACTGGATGAAAAATATATCACATGATTTTCTCATAAATTATAAAATATAAGTCGAAGCACGTTAAGTCGAAGTTGAAGGGACTGGTCAAAAGTATTCGACTTTATCCCAGGTTGGACTCATCTGAGGTTGAGTATGTTGTCTAGATATGGAATGAATGAAATATGGTATGAGATTTGTGTAAACTAGATATAATTGAGATTTCCAGTCTATGAATTATATAGGCATAAAAATTAAAAATATAGATTTACGAAATACATATTGAAAATTGGCTTATTTGGTCATATGTATTAGTTGATCAACTACACAAATGTTATAAAGATATGGGCTTGATATTAAGACAGCAATCTAGATTTGAATAAAATAGAATACATAGAGGTTGTATCTCAAACACAGACCTGCCAACTAGTCTGATTTTCATGCCTCAACCCGAATCCCGATATCGGGATCGTAAAACAAGTCAATATCCTGATTTTCACTAACTCTACCCGAAAAAATTATTGGTTACCGATTTTGAAGTTTTTCTGATCAATTTCTATTAATCTATAATTTTACTTGGCGACATATTCATGACGAAGTTTTACACGACCCTGCGCTAATCAACGGTCACAAGAGGTGTCATAATTTGTTGTTACAGGTAATCTGCTTATCTGATGGGTCATAACAATCCCAAAAATTAATTAATTTGTTAACAAAATCAGTCAGTCAGCGTTTAATTTTAATCATTTTATCATACGATCACAATTTGCAACGTTTACCGTAGTATTATGACAAAATCGTAATTAACTGAAAGACGAAAACTGTAATGAACTCATTAGAAAACATCGTTTATCTTGAAATCCGTTAAAATTTTTGAAATCAGACGTGTTTCTGTCCAGTTCTGATTTAAAATCGACGCCATTTTGTATTCACTTCTACTGTGTATAAGCCTCCGCCGGTAACAGCACCTCTGAACACAAAGAAAGATAACTAAAATTTTATCCATTTTCTCATTAATACTGATAGACTTACTCAAAATCTGTCTTCATCCTACTAACTTTAGGACAATTAGGTTTAGGTCCTTTGAGTCATGGTGCAAAGATAAGAAGGTCTTTGGAGGGGGAAAAGGGGGTCTTCACTTTGTATCCTTTATTTTTTTTTAGGCCATTTTTCTCTATTAAGTTATATTGCCAATTAATAAGTACAAGAATCATGCAAATAAAAGAAATCAAGGCTTATTAGCTCATCATCAGTATACCAAAAGAAAAAAGAAGAAATATGAGACTATTTCAAGAGTAAAAAAACTGCACACAGAAACGCCGCAAAAATTGTATCCCTTAAAAATCTGGTCGCGCACTAAATCCCCCATGGAGATTTTCAAAAGTTGGCAGGTCTGGAAGCATTATAACGATAGCTTCTTAATAAAAAAAGCTTAAATGTAAAGGAAGTTAACTGTTATCATGGTTATTGTTCTTAATTGACTATCATGCATTTTTTCGTGAATGTTCATTCAAATATCTACCTAAAAAGCTTCATATATGTGTTGAAGCTGATATTTTATAATACATTTTTATATATTTTTCCTGCTTTTATTACAAATTGTTGTTTATTGTAAACATTGTTTGTCTTACTTTCCAGTTTTGAAAATGACTTAAATTTCTCAAATACAATATTTTGCACCAACATTATCCTAATATGTAGCCTATTAACCAACTCTGATCCCTTACACATATTACCTTCCTAAATAACGCTTTGTTAGTGGCATGTCACATGACCTAATGTAAGAAAGATTATGGTCAACAATTTTTGGCAGGTTTATTATATAATTATCTACGGTTATATTCCCCTAGCAGAAGTTGACGTCTCTAAATATTTTGTTTCAAATTATCAACAAACTTGAACTTTGAAAAACAAATTTGTTAATCCTCTTTTGCAGGCATAATACCTTTTTTTCTTCACAACCGGTTACCAGTTCTGAAGAAAGGTCCAGGGACTCCAACATTGTATTATTTCACCAGTGCAGATAATGATGGTGTCAATATTAAATGGTTTCATGGAGCTAACAGCAGGCAAGCATTACGCAAGGCAATGAAAGGTATGAAACATATGAATTTAAAGTCAAATGTTACTTTGAATAAAAAAAAAGTTAAGTATATTTAATATACTTGCATGGCTATGTTCTACTTTAAAACATGTGTTCATAAACTTTCTCGAAAAAAAATCCTATATCTTATCAAAATCTTCAGAAATGTGCTGCTATTGAATTATTGTCTTCCTGTACTCTAATTGCTCGATAGCTTTTCTTTATGCAGTGAACCTAACCGTGAGACCTCTCGATAGAGCCTCAGCAACTGCACTGCGCAAATGCGATGGAAAAACAGTGATTAAAAGAATGTAAACAAACATGCACTGATAGGTAAATAGTGTTAATTGATTCTGAAATAACAATTTAATACACCAAATCATTTAACTGTTATGAAAAAGTTTGATTAGCAAATAGAAACGCAGGGAAAATTTATTTTTAAACAAAATAAACACAGCAATTGCTGACAATCAATTTTTAATAATTTTTAAACAACGGGTTAATATTCTATTTATTTATTTTTAAACACCATCTTGTATGGAGGATACTTATTTTTCATTCATTTTCAGTGTAATATATCTTAAAAATTACTGTATAATTAATACTATGTATATATCATAGGTTTGAATGTTGTTTTCAATATAGACTTGTATTATAATTAAGATCCATTTATTACATCAGTGATCCGTTTATTTGGCAATCGCCAATGGCAGTCAGCAGAGATTAAGAACATTTGTTGTTCGACCTGTTAGTCAAATGCGTTTTGTTAAAATATACTTTTTCATTTTTTTGGTCTTTTGGAAAATGTTGTTTGTGCTGTATTTAGACCCCTCTAACAAGAAATTTGTTTTGCATGCACACGTATAAAAATTGCGGTTTTTATACGACCGCAAGTCGTATATTGGTATGACGTTGGCGTCGTCTTCGTCTGGCGTCGTCCGGCGTTGTCCGAAGACACATTGGTTTTCGCACTCTAACTTTAGTTTAAGTGAATGGATCTCTATGAAATTTTACCATAAGGTTCAATACCACAAAAGGAAGGTTGGGATTGATTTTGGGGGTTATGATACCAACAGTTAAGGAATTAGGGGCCAAAAAGGGGCCAAAAATAAGCATTTTTGTAACTTCCAGACATAACTTGTGTGTTAGTGTATGGATCTCTCTGACATTGTACCACAAGGTTCCATATCACACAGGGAATGCTGGGATTGATTTTGGGGGTAATTGCCTCAAAATATTAGGAATTAGGGGCCAAAAAAGGGGCAAAAAACAAGCATTTTCTAGTTTCATGACAATAACTTGTGTGTAAGTGTATGGATCTTTCTGAAATTGTACTACAAGGTTCCATATCACAAAGGGAAAGCTGGAATTGAGTTTGTGGGTAATTGCCCAAAACGTTTAGGAATAAGGGGCCAAAAAGGGGCCAAAAATAAGCATTTTTCTAGTTTCCAGACAATAACTTGTGTTCAAGTGTATGGATCTCTCTGAAATTATACCACAAGGTTCCATATCACACAGGGAATGCTGGGATTGATTTTGAGGGTAATTGCCTCAAAATATTAGGAATTAGGGGCCAAAAAAGGGGCAAAAAAGGGGCAAAAAACAAGCATTTTTCTAGTTTCATGATAATAACTTGTGTGTTAGTGTATGGATCTTTCTGAAATTGTACTACAAGGTTCCATATCACAAAGGGAAAGCTGGAATTGAGTTTGGGGGTAATTGCCCAAAACGTTTAGGAATAAGGGGTCAAAAAGGGGCCAAGAATAAGCATTTTTCTAGTTTCCAGACAATAACTTGTGTTCAAGTATATGGATCTCTCTGAAATTGTACTGCAAGGTACCATACCACAAAGGGAAGGCTGGGATTGAGTTTGGGGGTGATGAATCATAAGGGGGTTCAAAAAATTTGGGGGGGGGGGATTTTTTTTTTTCTCCTTTTTTTTTCTTTTAAAATTTTCCATTTTAAGTTGGTTATTTCTGTTTTATATTTTAAAGCAAATAATAATGATATGGTAGGAGATACACACCAAACAGGATGTGTGAATTATTATATAATAAGTATTGTGCAATAGCAAGAAATTTTCAATTGCACAATAGCAAGAAATCTTCAATTGCACAGTATTGCGCAATAGCAAGAAATCTTCAATTGCACAGTATTGTGCAATAGCAAAAAATATCCAATAGCACAATATTGCGCAATAGCAAGAAATTTTCAATTGTACAGTATTGCGCAATAGCAAGAAATATTCAATTGCACAGTATTGTGCAAAAGAAGATACTTCGTATAAATTGCTTATTTCTTGACCAATTTCAATGGAGTTTTATTCTTGAATTCTTGGGGTTCTTTAATATGCTGATTCTAACCGTGTATTAAGTTTTTGGATTTTGGGCCTCGTTTTTAAATTGGTCCACATTGAGGTCCAAAGGGTCCAAAATTAAACTTTGTTTGATTTCATCAAAAATTGAATTATTGGGGTTCTTTGATATGCCGAATCTAACCGTGTATTTAGATTCTTAATTTTTGGTTCCGTTTTCAAATTGGTCTACATTAAGGTCCAAAGGTTACAAAATTAAACTTAGTTTGATTTTAACAAAAATTGAATTCTTAGGGTTCTTTGATATGCTGAATCTAAACATGTATTTAGATTTTTGATTATGGGCCCAGTTTTCAAGTTGGTCCAAATTGGGGTCCAAAATTAAACTTTGTTTGATTTCAACAAAAATTGAATATATGGGGTTCTTTGATATGCTGAATATAACCATGTATTTAGATTTTTGATTTTTGGGCCCCATTATCAACTTTGTCCACATTGAGGTCAAAAGGGTCCAAAATTAAACTTTGTTTGATTTCATCAAAAATTGAATTCTTGGAGTTCTTTGATATGCTGAATCTAACCATGTATTTAGATTTTGGATATTGGACCATAATAGGTGAATGTCCAATTAAAAAATTTTAAGTTCTTAGACCACATTCATTCTGTGTCAGAAACCTATACTGTGTCAAATATTTAATCACAATCCAAATTCAGAGCTGTATCAAGCTTGAATGTTGTGTCCATACTTGCCCCAACTGTTCAGGGTTCAACCTCTGCGGTCGTATTAAGCTTCCCCCTGCAGAGCATTTTATTATCCAATGCAATCATAGGTTTGAACGTTTTTTTCAATTTAGACTTGTATATATATGCTCCAAAACAGGCCCTTTAATTGGATTTAATTAAGTATTCGTATTCCCTATGCCATGTATATGTTTGCTTTTTTGTTTCTGCTTTTTTCTATGATGAGGGCCTCAGGGAAGATTAGTAATATAGCTAACTGTGTAACCCTCTTAAAATAAAGAATTGTTGTTGTTGTTGTTGCTATTACTGAGCAATTATGACTACATGTATTATCATCTCACTTATTTTTCACAAGCTCCAAGTGTCTGTGTTGATTGTTTATTAAGGTCCCGTTCAATAAACTTTGGCAATAAAACACGAAACTTAATTAGCAGGGAAGGTTTTCACCGAATGAAATAATTTTTGTCGATTATGTGTTCTTAGTTCGTAATAATTGTAAAATATCTTGAATTGAGGAGTCAGTTTAGTATATATATACATGCATTAATTCAAAAACTTCAAGAAACTTGTTTCATATGACTCTAAGAAAAAGTATTGCTGGTGCTCAAACCTGGAAAAGAAGATCTTAAAAATGAGGCAAATTTTGCAATTTTCCATTTATGCAAGAGGCTTGAATGTCTTAAGCAAATATGTGAGATGAAATCTCAATATATTATTTCTGATATTTGACTGACTAATATCATGTGAACAATAAAATGTTATTCCATATTGATAGCACTTTAGTAGGTTTTCTATATGAATGGGATTTTGAATAAATAAGCATATTCACCTGCCGAAAAAGTATATTCACCGTGCAAAACGTCGCATGCTTTTACGTGCATAATTTTTGTAAAAACGTTTGATGTACAATTGATATAAGTAAATAATTGCCATAACATATATTTCTCTCGGAATATGGAATAAAACAATTACTGTCTTTTGTTTCGGTAAATATGTGGTTTAATTTACTTTTTGACCGTTGGCCTCAGTGAATATCAGTTTTTCAAAAGTCAATAAAACTACATATTTACCTCATCAAAAGACAGTAATTGTATATTATTTGATACATTGAGAATAAAATGCCATTTTCAGGGGTCTAAAAAGATGAAGTTACTGTCTTTTTTTATTGTTTGATGCTATAATTTATCAGTAAATACTGTTATATAATAAAATAAAAAGTGTTTTAATTGCATTTCATTGATTTAAATTGTATTGCTGATGTTATCAAATAAAAGCAATGTGTTATTCACTTTATAATTAAACATGTTTTTAATATCTTATAGGTGACACACAAATGGTTGAAGCAGATGTGATGCTTCAGGGCCAAGGAACAGATAAACAGAGTTTAGAACCAATAATGGCTAAGTTACCTGATACTAGTAGTGATATTACACTGGAGGAATGGTTAACATTATTTGTTACTACCAAAAAGAAAGGATTAAAGTTAGACTTTCAGTCAACAGATGCTGTAGAAATTACTTTGGAGAAACTGAAGGCAGTAAAACACAAAGTAAGATTATTTAAAAATACTGGAAACCAACCAACTTTTGCAACTAATTTATTATTGTGACTTTGGTGAGTAGGAAAATAACATAAATATGTCAAACTTGTATCTTCCCTTATTTAGATACATCAAGTATATTTGAAAATTGCAAAATTGAATCGCCTTGAACTAGACTAGAAAGAGCTAAATGCTAAATAAAGTATCTGCGAAAAATAAGTTGGTTTATGGTTGATAGTAAATAAAAAATTATTTCGCTGACATCTATTGAAATTTTACTCATGAATATTAGACTTTAGTAAATTTTAAAACAATTTGGATAAAAAATGGCAAAAAAAAAGAAAAATGTTTGGTATTTTTTGCTTTGTACTGATCTATTGAGGTAAGCCATTTGCAACAGATTTTTATACGACCGCAAAAAAATTTTGTGGTCGTATATTGGTATGACGTTGGCGTCGTCGTCGTCGTCGTCCGGCATCGTCGTCCGAATACACAATGGTTTTCGCACTCTAACTTTAGTTTAAGTGAATGGATCTCTATGAAATTTTACCATAAGGTTCAATACCACAATAGGAAGGTGGGGATTGATTTTGGGGGTTATGGTACCAACAGTTAAATAATTAGGGGCCAAAAAGGGGCCGAAAATAAGCATTTTTGTAACTTCCAGACATAACTTGTGTGTTATTGTATGGATCTCTTTGACATTGTACTACAAGATTCCATATCACAAAGGGTCGATGATGGGATTGATTTTGGGGTTAATTTCCTCGAAATTTTAGGAATAAGGGGCCAAAAGGGGGCAAAAAACAAGCATTTTTCTAGTTTCATGACAATAACTTGTGTGTAAGTGTATGGATCTTTCTGAAATTTTACTACAAGGTTCAATTTCGCAAAGGGAAAGCTGGAATTGAGTTTTGTGGTAATTGCCCAAAACGTTTAGTAATAAGGGGCCTAAAAAGGGGTGAAAAATAAGCATTTTTTAGTTTCTAGACAATAACTTGTGTTCAAGTGTATGGATCTCTCTAAAATTGTATTACAAGGTACCATACCACAAAGGCAAGGCTGTTATTGAGCTTGGTTTGGGGGGAAGGGGGGGTGATGAATCATAGGGGGGGGGGGTCAAAAAAGGGGTAATTATATTTTTTTCGTTTAAGGAATAAGGGGAAAAAAGGTTAAAAAACTAGGGTTTCCATTTTAATAGACAAATAATTGAGTAAAGAACATTATTTAAAAGCAGTGTAAGGTTGGTAATTCAAACTCATTTAAATATCTCACCTGCACTATGTTTGAATTATGTAAATTGGAAATTTGCCAATTATTTTAGTATAATAAACTTCATTGGAAATTTGCCAATATAAAATTTTGCTGATGAAGGTTTTTTGTTTACCTTTAGTCTGACTATGATGTCATTTTCTATTTTAATAGCCTTATGATGTAGTTAATTTTTTTTTAATACTTTTATGATGTATTTTAATGCGCTTTTATGGTTGCAAATTTATTGTTTTAATACAATAAACTCCATTGGAAATTTACCAATAGTTTGTTTATTTTTAGCTATGACTATGATGTCATTTTCTATTTTAATTTTAAGGTTACAAATTAATTTCAGTTTTAAATATTATTGTAAAATGTTTGCCCAAAACATTTATTAATAAGTGGCCAAAAAAGGGGGCAAAAATAAGCATTTTTTTAGTTTCCAGACATTAACTTGTGTTCAAGTGTATGGATTTCTCTGAAATTGTACTTAAAGGTACCATACCACTTAGGGAAGTGGGTCAAAAAATTTTTGTGGGGGGGGGGGATTTTTTTTCCCTTTTTTTTTTCTTTAAAATTTTCCATTTTAAGTTGGTTAATTCTGATCACAAAGAGAAAGTTGGAATTGAGTTTGGGGGATAATTGCTCAAATGTTTAGGAATAAGGGGCTAAAAAAGGGGTTAAAAATAAGCATTTTTTTTTAGTTTCCAACAATTAATTGTGTTTAAGTAATTGGATCTCTGTGAAATTGTACTGCAAGGTACCATACCACAAACTGAAGGCTGGGATTGAGTTTGGGGGGGCGTGATGTGTGAAAATTTTCCACTTAAAGTTGGTTAATTATTTCTGATTTAGATATAAAAGCAAATAATAATGATGTGGTTTGATTTTATCAAAAACTTAAATTGAAGTTATGTATATTGTAAATTTAGGTTACATTGGAATTTAAGAATTGGCTTTGGGGTAGGGTTATGGCTCAAACCTTTAAATAATAAGGGAAAAAAAGGTGAAAAAACAAGGGTTTCCAGGTTAATAGATAAATAAGTACAAAACATTATTTAAAAACAGTGTAAGGTTGGTAATTCAAACTCATTTAAATATCTCACTTACACTGCTTTTAAATTATGTAAATTGGAAATTTGCCAATAACTTTATTGTTAATAAATGCATTGGAAATTTGCCAACAATTTTAGTATAATAAACTTCATTGGAAATTTGCCAATATAAAATTTTGCTGATGAAGGTTTTTTGTTTACCTTTAGCCTTGACTATGAAGTCATTTTCTATTTTTATAGCCTTATGATGTAGTTGAATTATTTAATACTTTTATGATGTGTTTAAATGGGGTTTTATGGTTGCAAATTTATTGTTTTAGTTTAATAAACTCCATTTAAAATTTGGTAATAAAAAAAAATTTTGTTTATTTTTAGCTATGATTATGATGTCATTTTCTATTTTACTTTTATGGTTGCAAAGAAATTTTTATTTTTAGATATTACTGCAGTGTTCCAGCTTGAATCTCAGGGCAGAAGGGTGCTAGTTGTCTGAAAGGGCACTTTAGCGTTATAACCCAGATTTTAAGGGCAATGTTGGACAGTGTATAAATTACCTTGAATATTGCTAGGCTCAGCTGGAGAACATTAGTTGTATTTAAACCATATTCAGAAATTAATGTGTTCTTGATGTTGGTTCCAGTAAGATTTTTTTTTCACCAAATTATCATACCATGAAGCAAAGCATATCATTTTGATGTTAATCTAACATACTTGTACATTTGGTATGGAAAATAATCATCAGAAATTTTCAATGTTTTATAACTTATACCAAAATAAACAAGTAGTTTTGAAAGATGGAGTTATACATGCAAAATTGAATGTTGATTTTAATTAAATTATCTAAATTTAAATTACTTGTTCAAACATATAGTATATATGTTATTGAGAGTTATTTATTATCATTTGAATTGTTACAAAAAAGTATTTTTAAGTGCACACCAAAGTGCTCCTCAGTAAGGAGTTTTATAAATATAACAGGTGAGACAGGAGATGATCATATTTTATATTGATGTAATAATATATTGCAGAAGGTATAAACAGTTACTTTTTTCTCCATCATTGTTAAAAATAAATTTGTTGAGTGCTCCTATGTCAGGAGGATTATAAAATACAAGATGTATTAAAAACAGGAAGTGAATCTTGTTATGTTCAAAGTACAAATTTCTTTGATTCCTCTTTAAATTTCATACTCATGGTTTTGAAACAAAACATTTTTTACCAATTAAGTCAAAACTATGTATGCCTTTAAAATTGTTTAAGATTTTATTTTTTATGTTATGTCTACTGAAATAAATTTTTTCAGGTGTACATGCTGTACATAAACATTACAAATGGATAACATGTGGACATTTCATTCTGTATTAAATATCTAGTATTTGTTCAATTATCTTAAATCCACTAATTAGCAGTAAACAATCATTAACAAAGGTGATAAAACTGCCAAAGCACTAGGTATTTAACTTAATCCCATTGTCAGTTAATTAGTGTTACACAATCAGGTAACAATTTTACCGGAATCGCCGGTAGGCATGAAATTTGGAAATTTAATTTTTTTGAAAAGGCAGAGGGATGCATTCTTTTACTTTGGAGGGCAGAAGGGCGGGGGTAAGGGCACCAAGGGCGGGCCGCCCTTCTATTTAGGGCAGGCGGGAACACTGTACTGTTAAATGATGCTGATTAAGGTTTTTGCTATGTTTAGCCATGACTATGATGTCATTTTCTATTTTAATATCTGTCATGATGTATTTAAATGGGCTTTTATGGTTACAAAGGAATTTTATTTTTAGATATTACTGTAAAATGTTGCTGATTAAGGATTTTGTTTATTTTTAGCCCATGACTATGATGTCATTTTCTATTTTAATACCTTTATTATGTAATTTCCATTTTTAGATATTACTGTTAAATGATGCTGATTGAGGGTTTGAATGCTGGGATTGATTTTGGGGGTAATTGCCTCCAAATTTTAGGAATTAGGGGGCAAAAAAAAAGCATTTTTCTAGTTTCATGACAATAACTTGTGTGTAAGTGTATGGATATTTATGAAATTGTACTACAAGGTTCCATATCACAAAGGGAAAGCTGGAATTGAGTTTGGGGGTACTTGCCCAAAACGTTTAGGAATAAGGGGCCAAAAATAAGCATTTTTCTAGTTTCCAGACAATAACTTGTGTTCAAGTGTATGGATCTCTCTGAAATTGTACTGCAAGGTACCATACCACAAAGGGAAGGCTGGGATTGTTTTTGGGGGTAATTGTCCCAAAATGTTAGGAATTAGGGGCCATAAAGGGGAAAAAAACATGCATTTTTCTAGTTTCATGACAATAACTTGTGTGTAAGTGTATGGATCTTTATGACATTGTACTGCAAGGTTCCATATCACAAAGGGAAAGCTTGGTTTGAGTTTGGGGGTAATTGCCCTAAACTTTTAGGAATTTGGGGCCAAAAAGGTGCAAAAAACCCAAGCATTTTTCTAGTTTCCAGACAATAATTTGTGTTCAAGTGTATGGATCTCTCTGAAATTGTACTGCAAGGTACCATACCACAAAAGGAAGGCTGGAATTGAGTTCGGGGGTGATGAATCATAAGGGGGTTCAAAAAATTTGGGGGGAGGGATTTTTTTTTCCTTTTTTTTCTTTAAAATTTTCCATTTTAAATTGGTTATTTCTGATTTATATATAAAAGCAAATGATAATGATGTGGTTTGAATAGGTAAATTAAAAAATTTTAAGTTCTTAGACCACTTTCATTCTGTGTGAGAAACCTATGCTGTGTCAAATATTTAATTACAATCCAAATTCAGTGCTGTATCAAGCTTGAATGTTGTGTCCATACTTGCCCCAACTGTTCAGGGTTCGACCTCTGCGGTCGTATCAAGCTGCGCCCCAGCGGAGCATTTTATTATACGACCGCAAAAAAATTTTTGTGGTCGTATATTGGTATGACGTTGGCGTCGTCGTCGTCGTCGTCGTCCGAATACACATTAGTTTTCGCACTCTAACTTTAGTTTAAGTGAATGGATCTCAATGAAATTTTACCATACGGTTCAATACCACAAAAGGAAGGTGGGGATTGATTTTGGGGGTTATGGTACTAACAGTTAAGGAATTAGGGGCCAAAAGGGGCCAAAAATAAGCATTTTTGTAACTTCCAGACATAACTTGTGTGTAAGTGTATGGATCTCTCTGACATTGTAACACAAGGTTCCATATCACAAAGGGAATGCTGGGATTGAATTTGGGGGTAATTGCCTCCAAATTTTAGGAATTAGGGGCCAAAAAGGGGCAAAAAACGAGCATTTTTCTAGTTTCATGACAATAACTTGTTTGTAAGTGTATGGATCTTTATGAAATTGTACTACAAGGTTCCATATCACAAAGGGAATACTGGGATTGATTTTTGGGGTAATTTCCTCCAAATTTTAGGAATTAGGGGCCAAAAAGGGGCAAAAAACAAGCATTTTTCTAGTTTCATGACAATAACTTGTTTGTAAGTGTATGGATCTTTATGAAATTGTACTACAAGGTTCCATATCACAAAGGGAAGGCTGGGATTGATTTTGGGGGTTTTCCCTCAAAATTTTAGTAATAAGGGGCCATAAAAGGGCAAAAAAAACATGCATTTTTCTAGTTTCAGGACAATAACTTGTGTGTAAGTGTATGGATCTTTATGAAATTGTACTGCAAGGTTCCATATCACAAAGGGAAAGCTGGAATTGAGTTTGGGGGTAATTGCCCTAAACGTTTAGGAATTTGGGGCCAAAAAGGGGCCAAAAAACAAGCATTTTTCTAGTTTCCAGACAATAACTTGTGTTCAAGTGTATGAATCTCTCTGAAATTGTACTGCAAGGTACCATACCACAAAGGGAAAGCTGGGATTGAGTTTGGGGGTGATGAATCATAAGGGGGTTCAAAAAATTGGGGGGGATTTTTTTTTTCATTTTTTTTCTTTAACATTTTCCATTTTAAATTGGTTATTTCTGATTTATATATAAAAGCAAATAATAATGATATGGTTTGAATAGGCATACATGTGAACCTCCCGACGGGAGTACAATAATCCCGTTTTCAGGGGTCTCCTCCCGACCTCCCGTTGAAGAGGAAAAAATCACGTGTATGAAATTTTTCATGAATGAAAAATTTCTGACCAACATATCATCTCAGGCATCTGGTGTAACTGACATTACCTGAAGTTATATTTTACCTGTAAATCAATTAACATGCATAATTATATGGCTTCACTTGTCAGCTTGGGTGTCAAACATACTGGTAATCAACGATTTTTACCTCAGGCTAACTGCCATTGTGTAACAAAAACTGTGTATTTATTGGGTTACTTCCCTTGATTTATCCTGTTTTAAGTTACTTTCCTTTTAATAATGAAAATTTTTAAAAGAATATAAATAAAATATAAATTGAACAAATAATCATAAAAGGATGGTTATTAAATGATTTTAAATGTCTTAGGACAAATAAAAAAATAATAATTTGAAAATTATTTGAGGATTCTATACTTCCTTTCAAGGCTTAAATTGAAATTTATATAATAACTATGACCCTAATTTTACAGATAGAATGATTTTCTGAGTTTGCAAATAAGAACTATTTGCAAGAGAAAAAATAAAAACTATTTGCAGATAGCTAAACAAATGTTCTGGTTGCAATGATTGTTTTATAGAATATGAAGTAAAAAATTTAAAGAACATACTGGAAAAAAACAATGTTAGATTGAACATGTAGAATATAAAGATGGAGAAACTTTATAAGTACAAGGGTACTATAAACATAATAAATTGGATGGAAAGTTGAAGAAAACACACTTTAAAAGACCATTTTTACAGCACACGGTTACATTTACAACAAAATTAATGTCGATTAAAAACCTCCTGATCTGAGTCCTAATCTCCTGACCAAAATTTCCCAATCTCCTGATCTGAGTTTCACAGTCCATCACATGTATGAATAGGTAAATTGAAAATTTTTAAGTTCTTAGACCACTTTCATTCTGTGTCAGAAACCTATGCTGTGTCAAATATTTAATTACAATCCAAATTCAGTGCTGTATCAAGCTTGAATGTTGTGTCCATACTTGCCATAACTGTTCAGGGTTCGACCTCTGCGGTCGTATCAAGCTGCGCCCCAGCGGAGCATTTTATTTAGTTTGTTCTTATGTTGTGCTGTTACACCACTGTCCCAGGTTAGGGGGAGGGTTGAGCGCTCACAAACATGCTTAACCATGTCACATTCTTTCTGTGTCTGTCCCAAGTCAAGAGCTTGTTAGTTGGTTCATGCCTGTCATATTTTGTTTTTCAAAAAATTTGATTGTTATAAATTAGGTCTTGATTTTCTCGTTTGAATTGTTTTACATTTTTTATGTCAGGGTCTATTAAAGATGACTATATGGTATGGGTTTTTCGCATTGTTGAAGGTCATATGGTGACCTATAATTGCTTATATCCACATTATTTGAACTCCAGTAGATAGCTGTCTCATTGGCAATCATACCACATCTCCTTATTTTGATATTAAAAAGAAAAGTATTGGTATAGTGTATTTAAGAAAATTAATAGAAATTTAAGAAAAAGATGAAGAGTTATTAATCAGTTCATGTGAAGCATTAGCTATAATCCAATCTATTAGCCTCATATGGTATTTAATTGTTGGCTTTTCAACTAAAAACATGTATATAGTAAACAGTAAGCATGTTTTGAGAGTCTGTAATAGTCCTAGTGTTACAATTAAGTTTTACATCAAGTATTCTTTGATTTATCATACACATTACAGAAAATATATCCCGTTGACATCTCCATAAATATTTAGAATTTTAAGAAGAATTGAATTGTTAATATTTGTTTTATCGAAATCAAAATTTAATAACATTATTCTTTATTGTTTTAGCTACAAGTTCCAGTGTGGTTACATGCAAATATTATAAAAGGTCCTCTAGGCCATGAACCTAAAGTTGATGGTATCCGATTCATCAAACATATCCAAAGATTGTTTCCTGAATGTACACTTTCATTAGGATGGACAACAGGAACTCATACAGACTTAAGTCAGATAGGATATACATGGAATATGACCCTTGACATGTATCACTTTGTGCATGCACACGAGATTGAACCTCCCATTGTATTTACAGTTAGAGCTTCATTGATAAGGAACTCTGTACCTCAGTTAAAATGGCTGACAGACAACACTAGGGGTTCTATATTGGTCTTACAACCAGAGGAGGACAAACAACATGTGAATAAGGAGCTCATGCATATAGCTTATAGGTTTGATCCAGCAACATCTTTCTGGGATATCAGTAACCCAGATCTGGATGAATACCTCACTAAGAATCGCCATCTATCCAAAGACGAGTTAGATCCGTTAGTTCACATGAGAGACAATGTTGCTTTCAGACCCATGCAATGGTTAAAAATGGGACTTCATGTTCAGCAGCATTCAGTACTAGGTAGTGAAGAGGCCCTAGTTCTTACTAGTAAAGCTGTTTTTGTTTTAACTAAAGGTAAATTTCGTCCATCACCTCACAATATCTTGCACGGACGAGTTACGTTTATAAATAGAAAGAATAGACCAGTTGAACCAGGAGAAACAGGACTTAATATAGTGGTACGATCTTCAAAATATAATGATTTTGAACATATTAATGGTATATTTTGTTTCCTAGGCATGGATGGACAAATGAAAGTTGAAAGTCGTGGAATAAATCCTCCAATAAAAAAAGGTCATCAGAGATTTTCTCTGAGTTCAACAGATTGTTATGGATTCAGTGTTTCAGATGCAGGTCATGAAATTATATTTACTGTTGATATCCTTAATGATTGTGAAACTTTCCAGAGTGTCAAGCGTGAACGAGGAAAACATGCTATTTTAAGGGTTCCTGTCCCAAGAGATATTGGTGATGAGATGCATCCATTTATTGTTAAATTAGAAGATAGTAATAGATATGCTGTTATTGATGAATTGCATGTTGAATATAATCCAAAACGTGAACCAGTGAATGTTAAAATGAGTTGAAGTAATTGTCTTGTAGATATTTGTTTTTTGTCGAGCCTTCGACTTTTGTCGAAAAAGCGAGACATAGCGACCCTACATTCCGTCGGCGTCGTTGTTGTCGTCGGCGGCGTCCACAAATATTCACTCTGTGGTTAAAGTTTTTGAAATTTTAATAACTTTCTTAAACTATCCTGGATTTCTACCAAACTTGGACAGAAGTTTGTTTATGATCATAAGATTATATTCAAAAGTAAATTTTGTAAAAAAAAAATTCCATTTTTTCCGTGTTTTACTTATAAATGGACTTAGTTTTTCTACCAGGAAACATTACATTCACTCTGTGGTTAAAGTTTTTGAAATTTTAATAACTTTCTTAAACTATCCTGGATTTCTACCAAACTTGGAAAGAAGTTTGTTTACGATCATAAGATATAGTATCCAGAAGTAAATTTTGTTAAAAAAAAATTCCATTTTTTCAGTATTTTACTTATAAATGGACTTAGTTTTTCTGCCAGTTAACATTACATTCACTCTGTGGTTAAAGTTTTTAAAATTTTAACAACTTTCTTAAACTATCCTGGATTTCTACCAAACTTGGAAAGAAGCTTGTTTATGATCATAAGATAGTATCCAGAAGTAAATTTTGTAAAAAAAAAATTCCATTTTTTCCGTATTTTACTTATAAATGGACTTAGTTTTTCTGCCAGTTAACATTACATTCACTCTGTGGTTAAAGTTTTTAAAATTTTAATAACTTTCTTAAACTATCCTGGATTTGTACCAAACTTGGACAGAATCTTGTTTATGATCAAAAGCTAGTATCTAGAAGTAAATTTTGATAAAAATTTGTTCAATTTTTTCCGTATTTTACTTATAAATGGACTTAGTTTTTCTTCCAGTCAACATTACATACAGTCTGCAGTTTAAGTTTTTAAAACATTTATTAGATTCATAAATTATCCTGGATTTTTACCAAACTTGGACAGAAGCTACTTACAATCAAAAGATAGTATAGAGAGGAATATTTTTATTAATTTTTTTCCTCATTTTTGTTGAGCCTGCGATTAACAGCAAAAGTAGGCGAGACACTGGGTTCCGCGGAACCCTTACGAATTTTTTTATAAATTTTTTAATAAAGTATTTTGTTTCTTTTGAATTTATTCCATCTAGTTTAGAACTTAGTTGAAGTTGAAAATTATTTCCATTTTACTACCTATAAAAAAACTTGTGTTTGACAATCGTTTTGAAATTTTAGAAGATCCCTGCTCTTGGAAATGACTGATATAGATGTATCAAATTTTGAATCTTTGGTTTTAATTGGATTACAATATTGCACATTTGTGCATACCTTTAGATATCAATTTTCTATATCTCTTAAATTGAAATATAGTGTGCTGTTTTTTTTTTTATTGTTGTATAACTTCTCATGTATGTTTTATTCAGAAAAAATTAAGGTATTATTTATTCCTTAGTAAAAAGATTGTCATATGACAGTCAATGTTAATTTGTTATTCAGTAGCAAAAGAATATGCCCTCAGGTTAAGGGGCAAGAGCAAAATTTCTTGAACTTCACTCCAAGTTCCTGTTTTTTTTTAAATACTCTAGCTTATGAAACATGAATATCATGCTCTGTTTTATTTATAAAAAGCATTCATACTGAGATTCAGAATTTAGCAAACAATACAAAAGTGCCATATTTTATTGAAAATAGTATATCTACAACTACAGAATACTTTTTAACTTCTATATGTTGAAAGTTATAAGATATGAATCCAGTGAAGGCTTCTAATGGAATTCAGTGGGGCTGGTGCTGATACCTATTTCTCATTTTTATCAAAATTCAACAATAAAATAAATGGGAAATCAGACTTACGGTAAACTGTGTTTTGAAGAAAAAAAAATTGAATTAAACACTTTTTGTAAGTTATCTGTATCATGTGTGCTGAGTTTTTCCCAAAATTTTAAGTATTGAATTTTTACACCACAATATTAGTCATTTCCACAGTAGAAGTGTAGAAGTAGTTTTATATATATTCATTATAATTTTTTTTATTTTTGAAAACTTAGTGAAATGTTTTTGTTCACTTAACGTACACTACATGTAATTGGAATTGTTTTGTTTCTACAAGGCTTAGTTTTAATTATGATTTAAGGCACAAGTTTGATCCAGCTTGTATGCACTTGTACATTTCTTCATGTAGACTTTCATTGTTGTAAACTTCCTTATAAAGTGCATCTACTAACAACTGATTTATGTGTGTGATTTATTATCCAACCTTGTTTTTATACGCCCGTTTAGGGGACGTATTATGGTATACCATTGTCCGTCTGTCCGTCCGTCCGTCCGTCTGTCTGTCCGTCCGTCGTCAACATGTCGGACATTAACTCAAAAACGCTTTAACCAATTTGCATGAAACTTTGGTGAATTGTTTATATCTATTGACGTGAGCTCCCTTTCGATTTTTATAAATTTATGATTTTACTTTTCCGAGTTACAGGGTTTTATTCATAAAAAAAGGGGGGATTTTCCAGTTTTCGGACAAAAACTCAAAAATGCTTTCTGCAATTCTTATGAAACGTTGGTGAATTGTTTGTATGTATTGATGTAAATTCCCTTTAAAATTTTATAAATTTTACATTTTACATTTCTGAGTTATGGGGTTTTATTCATTAAAAAAAGGGGTGATTTTCGAGTTTTCCGACAATAACTCAAAAATGCTGTCACCAATTCTCATGAAACTTTGGTGAATTGTTTATATCTATTGATGTAAGCTCCCTTTCTATTTTCATAAATTTCTAATATGACATTGAGAATTAATTGAACTTTATTTGTTTATAGTCTGACAACAGATTTACTAAGTATTGCACAACAGCAAGAAATCTTTAATTGAATATAAATTCAATTCATATAACAAATTTCAAGTTCTTTGACTACATTTATTCAGAAACCTATAATATGTCAAATATTTAATTACAATCCAAATTCAGACCTGAATCAAGCTTGAATATTCTGTCCATTTTTGCCCCAACTGTTCAGGGTTGGACCTTTGCGGGCATATCTAGCTGCGCTCAGCGAAGCAGTTTATTATTCAACTTTTGCTCAATTTGAAATATATTCTGTTTTGGTAAGTAAGCTTGAATATGCATCATATGTTGTTATTCACTAACCAAAGTGCAATATATCATATATCATATTCATGTACCATAGTTTTAGTGGAAAATGAACAAGCATTTACATTTTTGTTGCTAAAATATTAGATATGAACATACCCGTTAGCTAGTCCCCGATATTAAAAAAAGGTCACATTGCTTATTATCCTAGTACTTCTTCTGACATACTGGTAATCCTTTTTTACATAGGATCATCAGAACTGGTGTAGTAGTTATAATACTGTGTCTGCTGAAATTTAGAAATTCAGAAATTTGTCCTGGTGTTGAAAGTATGGGAAACAAACAATTTATTTATTTTGTAACTTAATATTTTTGATTCCATAGAATAGAGATGGACATTGGATCATTATATATACCAACTTGAACAAAAGGAGGGATGCAGTTAGAGCTGATTTATATACCATGTCTCAGTGATATCACTAGCTTGTTGTAATTTACATATTTCACAAAAAAAGTTAGTTTAGGCATGATAGTATATACTTTTGAAGAAATTGAAATCTTTTGGTGCAGGATTTCTTTTATATGAATTATAAAGAGCAGTTTTCGAAACTAGGCAATTTTTGCTCTTGCATAGTTTTTGGTTTTTTTTACCCCACAGCTAAACTGAAAGGAAGTATTTTAAAGTAGCTAGTAATTATCTGAAAGGTGAAATTAAGCAGATTAATTCTATAATTAAGGGTCAAACATTTGACTGATCATACCCTATTTTAATCATGATGTAAGGCATAATGACAGTGTAAATATATGCATTGTGTTATCATAATTTGGACATTGATGTTATGTTGTTTTTTTTTAAGAATGTTGGATCATTTTGAAATAGTTGTGATGCCACAGATAATTATGCCATATTTGTTACTTGGACTTGGACTTTGGAATCAGCAATATTGTGAAAATGTTTACAACCATCAAGAAAATGTGTACATTTTATTCGAATTTAGATTTGTTAAATATAATTTACATAGGAAGGTTGCTCTTTTGTTGATATTGTATTAAATAGAGGTTTTTGGATAGATCTTTTGGGTGTCTTTGTATGCCTGTATTAAATGCTTATGATATAGACTATTACTGTGTTTAAGACATGGCTATTTATGTTATGATGATTTATGTTACACTTATTCTAGACTGTTTATTAGATTTATGATTATATGTAAGATGTCCTTTTATTCATTATATGTACACATTTAGATTTAGAATTTTCTATTTTTGTTTGTTTTTACACCAGTGTTTATCCATGAAATGGACATATTTGTTTTCTTGGAATAACTGCTTTATTATTCATGTAATTATATCAGACATATCATCTATGCATTGTATAACAATTCTCTATACTATACATTCCTTTTATATACAATTTGAGTATTTATTTTTACAAATAAATAATAATTTTCAATCTTTTTTGGTAGTTTGAGAGTGCATATTAAGCATTACTGTGGATTTATTATTATTTTTTAAATATTGATATTCTTGAATTTTGTGGGTAAAGGTAAACCACCAGTTCAAATGTTCAACAAAGTATAAATTTTCTATAGACTTCAGACTTAGGTAAACCAGGAAATGAAATCTCCACGAACGCACATTTTCCCCTCAATCCTAGAAAATTGGTAACGACAAAAATAAATGAATCTACAGTACAAGGAAACATTTAATGTGACACTTGTACATTGATAGCAAGAATCAGTGAAATGAATTTACAATATACCTTACAAGTCAAAACAGCTTGTTGAAGAAATTGCATCACATCACGAAAGATGGCTTCCCATTTGTGCCTTTACTGAAGGCTATTGTTTGTGCACATTGCAAGGCTACTTCTGAGTTGGCTCTAATACTATAACCTCTGTTTCATTTCTCTATCTTCCTCTTGACTTTAGGAAACATCAACAAAGTTATGGTGGTTTTAAAATTGCATCATTGGAAGGAAATGTGTGCAGCCATTAGTAAAATCTCTTGAAAAACATCAAGGAGAAGTAAAATGTAAAAGGAAATTTATGTTTGTTGTTGGAAATATAACCAAACTAGTTTTTGTTGCCTGCAACAAAAGAATGCAAGACATAAAGATCACAACATGGTGGCAGCAGTGGCTTTGAACCATTTGTATTAAGCTTTATATTTCAGAGGGAATAACCCCTGGAAGCTTCATACCTAGAATACAATTGCCTTATGTTACGAAGTCTCATCTGTCATATGTCTGTTATTCTTGACCTCATTTTCATGGTTGAAAAAAAGTTTTGTTTTTTCATGAGAATTTCTCTCCTATTATAAGTAATAGGATAACTATATTTGGTATATGGGTTCCTTGCAAGGTCTACATGTCTGTCAGACAGTATTAACTGACCTCAACCTCATTTAATGAATCAGTGATCAAGGTTAAAAGTTACGTGATTTTGTCTGTTTCTCAGATACTAAAAGCAGTATGTCAACTATACTTGGTGTCTGGAATTATTGTAAGGTGTACATATCTGTCTGGCAGGTGTAGTTTTTCCTTGACCTCATTTTCATGGTTTATTGGTCAATGTTAAGTTTTTGTGTTTTGGTCTGTTTTTCTTATACTATAAGCAATAGGTTAACTATATTTGAAGTATGGAATAATTGTAAGGTGTACATGTATTTTTATTACATTAAATACCCCACCTTCATAAATTTAGATATTAGTCCACTTGCTGCATTATTCAAACAGAATCCAGCCAGAAAAAAAGAACCATACCCCTTTGACAACCTCTTCCACCTGATGCATGCGCGCCATAAACCTTCATAATTTTTTCCTTCACTTCTGGTGCTAGTCAGTTAAGGTTATCTAGGCCTAGCAGGGTATCTCATACCATAACTAGGCCTACTGAGATACCAATGTCTCCTGTTTCTTTCACAACAAGTATGCTGGAGACTCTTCCAGCTGGTATCAGGAGTGACCCCTTTTCCAGGACTAGGTGGCCTATGAATTTTGCCTACCCTCCTATGCCTATGGGTATGCCCAACTTGCCTCCTTATCCTCAGCCCTTTGATCCGTTTTGGGCTCAGAATCATCCTCTTTTAAGGATGAGATGAAGACTTGTACCACTTATCACAGGATCCTCCCAGACCTCCTTGACATCTGGTTGAAGATGATACTGTTTCCTTGGCTCCCAGAAGCCAGGAAGGTCACTTTCTTGATGACCAAGGTGCTTCGTCTGATAGTGACAGTGTTGGGAGCACAGAGGGAGATGCTGTGAACTCTCAGGAGCCTTCTTCAGGCAATCCCTCTGAATCTCTTAGGAGTCTAGTTTATTCCATTCGTAGGGATATGTCGGATATGCCCATGTCTTCTCCACCAAGGGTTTCTTCTTTCCCTTCAGATTTCATGGCTTGATCTGGTTTGGTCAAGCCAGATTTGAAGGGGTATAATTCTTTTCCAGAGTCGGGTCATTTCACAACAGCTTTGGAATTTGTTCTTTGGCTTAGAACCATGGTTACACTATCAAATTGAGATTCATGGATCTTCCTTTGGTAAGTCTGCTCCAGTCTGTGATAAGGCTTTTTCTGTTTTACTGGGTTCGAAACCTGTGGAGGGCCTCAGACTCTCAGTCTTCATATGTAAAGTTGGAGAATAATCTCAGGTTTCTAGCTTATGTTGTTGAGACAGCTGAACACTTTTTGGCGGTAGCTGCATCTCTTTTAAAGGAAAAGGGGAGGAATTTTCAGACTAGATGTCTATGCTTCTACAGCTAGACAAGAGTCTTGGAACTTCTCAATTCCTTCTTCTTGGCACCTTGGCCAATTTCACTCTTACTAAAAGACGGGAGATTCTTGCGACATCGACTGTCTCTGAAGATTTCCAGGAGAGACTTCTTAGTTCTCCTCTGTCTAAGGACAAGTTGTTCTCCGTTTCCTTGGATCAGCTACAGGAGGAGGTGAATAAGGCTCCTCCTGTTGTCAAGGTGGATAATAAGGTTACTGATGGGAAAAGATTTGTCAAGACCGCTCAGTATAACAAGTCTTATTCCTCTCATCAGCCAAAGGCTCCTCCTTCCTCTTCTTGTCACAGTATAAGAAAGATCAGCTGTTCGCCTTTCAGGTGACAAGTAAGCCAAAGTTGTAAAGGGTAGTTCAGAAGGGTGTGTTGGAGGAGGCAAATCCTCCTTTTCGTCTAGGGTTTTATTACCGGCTTTTCTTGGTTATAATTCTGTCAGTGAGACATGTTCCAACCATCGGTGTTTCAGAAGATCACTCTTCGTTGGGATCGTCCTCATATACTAGTAGGTCTTTTTGTCACCAATCTGAATCGCAAGTTGGAGGCTTACGTTTCCTCTATTCCAGACGAAAAAGCTTGGGCAGTAGATGCTATGACCCTATCTTGGAGGGGAATGTTCAGTTACATGTGTTCTCCCTTTCGTCTTCTTCCCAAGATCTTGCACGACATTCAGAGGGATCGTTGCAAGACCATTCTTATTGCTCCACATCGGCCAAGACAGTCTTGGTTCCCAGAACTACTTCTTCTGTGTTGTGCAAAGCCATTTCGAATTCCTCTAAAGGACGATCTATTTTCTAAGTTCAAGGGAAGAAAGATTCATCAGGGTCTAGAAAATCTTCATCTGCACTCTTGGTTACTGTCAGGAATTCCATCAGAAAGGGAGGCTTTTCTGGAGGAGCAACCAAGCGTATCTCAGGGTCAGTCAGTCTGCAGGAGCCGTTTATGACTCAAAATGGTCAATTTTCTGTTCTTGGTGTCAGTCTAAACAAATTGATTCTCTCTCAGTTCCTGTGCAACAGTTAGCGGATTTTTTTCCTTGATATTTTTTTAAGAAAAAGGTTACACTCCGTCTAATATAAAGGGATATGTATCTGCCATCGCCAGAACTAAATGTCTTTCAAACGGCTCAGACTTTGGCGATAATGAGTGTTTGTCCTTGTTGATTAAAAACTTTTGATTTGATATACTTCGTCAAAGGCGTTTGGTTCCTTCTTGGTTCTTGGGTTTAGTCTTGAGGGTTCTTCAGTTTCCGCCTTTTAAACCTTTGCATTCAGCCTCATTCAAGCATTTATCTTATAGATGTTGTTTTCTCATAGCTTTGGCGACTGTTCGTAGAAGGAGAGAGATTCGTGCCTTGTCAATTTCTGAGTCTTGCTTCCGCTTTGCGGCTGATCAGACCTCAGTAACACTTCTACTTGATCCTTCTTTTCTAGCTAAGAATCAATTACTTGATAAAGGTTCTGGGTTAATCACTATTCCTGCCATTAATCAGGTTTTGTGTCCTGTGAGAACTTTGCATTTGTACCTAGCTTCGTCAGCAAAATAATGACCTGCTGGCTCTTCTAGGTTGTTCATTCCTATCAGAAAAGGAATTTCTGACATCTCTGCTAAAACCTTTTCTACCTGGATGTGCAATACTGTCATGATAGCATATAAGTCTGCTAAACATAATGTTAAAGCTCATGAAGTAAGAGCCTTAGCCTCTTCTTGGAACATTTTTAATTCCTCCCCGATGTCGGAAATCATGTCAGCTGGTTTTTGGAGGTCAGGTAGTGCCTTTTATAATCACTATTTACGCTCTATGTCCCATCATTGTGACAACCTCTATTCTTTAGGACCTTTAGGGCTTCTCAACAGGTTGTTTTTCCTCCTACTAACAAGGGGGATTCAGCGCTTCGTTAAATTCTGTTTATCTAAATTGATGAAGGTGAAGTATTTAATGTAATAAAAATCAAATTTTTAGAATTAAAATTTAGTTTTGTAAATTAAATACTCACCTTCATAAATCAGAGGACACGCCCCTTCTCCTTCATCCCCCTTGGTGCCTGGCAATTCAAGGAACAAACAATGCATGAAGCCGGTTAATGGCGCGCATGCATCAGGTGGGAGAGGTTGTCAAAGGGGTATGGTTCTTTTTTCTGGCTGGTTTCCGATTGAATAATGCAGCAAGTGGACTAATATCTAAATTTATGATGTTAAATAAATATTTAATTTACAAAAAAAAAAAATCAATTAAAAAATTTGATGTCTGACAGATGTCATGTCCTTGACCTCATTTTCATGGTTCATTGGTCAATGTTAAGTTTTACAGTTTAATATAAAAATAAGGAGATGTGGTATGATTGCCAATGAGACAACTATCCACCAAAGTTCAAATAAAGTGGATGTAAGCAATTATAGGCAACCGTACGGTCTTCAACAATGAGAAAAACCCATACCGTATGGTCTGCTATAAAAGGCCCTGACATCAAAAATATGAAACAATTCAATTGAGAAAACTAACGGCCTAATTTTCATAACAAAACAATTTACGAAAAACAAATAAAACCGACATGAACCAACGACAACCACTGAACTACAGGTTCCTGACTTGGGACAGGCACATAAAGAATGTGACGGGGTTAAACATGTTTCTGAGCGCTCAACCCCCCCTAACCTGGGACAGTGGTGAAAC